TGAGTAGCTGGGATTACAGGCACGCGCCACCATGCCCAGCTAATTTTTTGTATTTTTAGTAGAGACGGGGTTTCACCGTGTTGACCAGGATGGTCTCGATCTCTTGACCTCGTGATGCACCCGCCTCGGCCTCCCAAAGTGCTGGGATTACAGGCTTGAGCCACCGCGCCCGGCAGAAATACTACCTGCTTTAGCATCTCTTTCCTTTCTCATGAAAATGTCTTTCATATAAAGTTCCACTGAAAAGAGTACATTTCTGTCTCTACACAAATCTGTAGGCCTTCCAGGCAGAAGACAAATAAGTAGAAGAATCTCATTCAACACACTTCCTCCATGCTCAAAGCTGTTTTATTGTAAAGGTAGAAAAAGTGTGTATATCATTTCCAAATTAAAATTCATTCAGCAAATATTTATGGAGGGTCTTCTAGGTTCTGGGCATTGTTCTAGAAACAGAGAACTTATTTACCTATAAGGGCAGTGCATTTGGGAGGTAACATGGTCAAAAGGAATTACTATCCAATCTGATCCCACCTCCAGCATCTTTCCCAATCTCCCTCTATATGACCTGATGGTTAAAGTGGTCTGTCCCAATATTTATGCTTTCAGCTGCTTTGTTTCCCTTGCTTTTTCATCTCTCCTCTTCCCCCCCCGCCGCCATATGCTTACTATGTATATCAAGACTGAGCTCAAGTGTCACCTTTCACTTATGTCTTGTCTGCTACCCCCGTGCCACTGCTTCCTTTGAAGACCTGAAAAACTTAGTTTCCCTATACTCTAGGCTCATCTCTGACTATGCTCCCCATTCCCCATCATATTTCCCACTCTGGCCACACTGGACCATGCCCAGTTCCACAAATGAGCCATGTTCTTTCCTGACTCAAGGTCTCCACAGCTGAGTGTGGGTTACCTTTTCCACCACCCCAAAATGATCTCCCCATGCTTGACATCTTTTTTTAGTCTCACCGTATTTTGATTTATGTACACTGAACTGTTATTTTCAGCACCTCTGCTATGTGCCGGGCATGTGGAATAGTCCTGGGAATGCAGCTATAAACGAAACAGTTGACGTCCCTGCACTCTCGGAGCTTATATTCTGGTAAAGAGAGACGTTAAGTAAGTAAGTAAGAAAAAAACACGAAAATACCAGCTAGGGATAAGGGCCCCTGCTTCTCAGTTTCCTTTGCTGGATCTTCCTCATCACCCAACCTCTAAATGGAGTATGACTTTTTTTTTTTTTTTTTTTTTTTTTTTTTTTTTTTTTTTTTTTTTTTTTTTTTTTTTTTTTTTTTTTTTTTTTGAGATAGGATCTCGCTCTGTTGCCTAGGCTGGAGTACAGTGGCAGTCTTGGCTCACTGTAACCTTCGCCTCCTGGGTTCAGGTAATTCTTGTGCCTCAGCCACCCAAGAAGCTGGAATTACAGACATGCACCACCACACCAGGCTAATTTGTGTATTTTTAGTAGAGACAGGGTTTCACCATGTTGGCTACACTGGTCTCAAACTCCTGGCCTCAAGTGACCCACCCCCTTCAGCCTCCCAAACTGCTGGGATCACAGGCATGAGCCACTGTGCCAGCTCTATCTATACTTACCCCATAGGTGATCTCATCTACTTCCAAGGACTTAAAACTATATTTGCTTCAAAATAATTAGGAGAAAGGAGGTAATATCGATGAAACCAAACTACTCATGAGTTAAGAATTACTGAAGTTGATGATGAGTACATGGGGATTCATCATATAATTTTCTCTACTTCTATAAATATTTGCCTACTCCTTATTTTCTCACACTATCATTTACTTGTTCAGAAAATTCTATCAGCTTTGCTTTTTTTTTCTTTGAGAAGGAGTCTCATTCTGTCCCCAGGCTAGAGTGCCGTGGCGTGATCTTGGCTCACTGCAACCTCCACCTCCCAGGTTCAAGCGATTTTTCTGCCTGCCTCAGTTCCCGAGTAGCTGGGACTACAGGTGCATGCCACCATGCCCAGCTAATTTTTGTATTTTTTTAGACGAGATGGGGTTTCACTGTGTTGGCCAGAATGGTCTCAATCTTGCGACCTTGTGATCCACCCACCTCGGCCTCTTGAAGTGCTGGGATTGCAGGCGTGAGCCACTGTGCCAGGCCAGCTTTGCTTTTGAAGCACAATCCAATCAGATCACTTTGCAGCACCATCTTTACTACCACCCTAGTTCAAGCTACCATCATTTGTAGCTTGAATTATTGTAACAGTCAAACTATCTTCCTCCTATGGGAGCCAGAGAGGTAACTATTAAAAAATAAGTCAGATTGGCCCTGCACAGTGGCTTATGCCTGTAATCCCAGCACTTTGGGAGGCCGGGGGGTGGGGGTGGGGTCACTTGAGGCCAGGAGTTCGAGATCAGCCTGGCCAACATGGTGAAACCCTGTTTCTACTAAATATACACAAATTAGCCTGGTGTGGTGGTGCATGTCTGTAATTCCAGCTACTTGGGTGGCTGAGGCATGAGAATTGTTTGAACCCAGGACGCAGAGGTTACAATAAGCCAAGACTGTGCCACTGCACACTCCAGCCTGGGCAATAGGGTGAGACCCTGTCTCCAAAAAAAAAAAAACATAGTCCAAAGACTTCTCAATTTACTCGGATAATGTCCAAAGTCCTTACAGAGCACCTTCCCCCTACCTCTCTGATCTTATCTACTACTCTCCCGTTGCTCATTACCTATGATGGCACTATTTGTGGCTATTACTGAATGGGTCATTAGAATTTCAGCGCCAAGAGAGCAGGGGTTTTCCTTTGTTCATCTCTACATCCTCAGCATTCAGAACTCTGCCTGGCACCTAGGAGGTGCTAAAAGCTAATAAATACAATATTCGTTGAATGAAATAAAACAGTGATTGGGTAACCAAAGAAGCCCTCACTAAGGACCTGATAATTGAGTTGAGACCTAAGTGACCAAGAGCCAGTCACGCAGATTTAGAACCAGAGACCTTCAGGTTAAAGAAATAGTATAAGTTCCTAAAATGAGAACAAGTTGACTTATTGGAAGAACAGAAAGAGTGGTTGGAGCACGGTGAGGAGAGGTAGAACCCCACAGGCCATGGTATGGAGTTTGCAATGGAAAATCATAGGACACTTTTTTTTTTTTTTTTTTTCAGACAGGGTCTCACTTTGCCACCCAGGCTTGAGTACAGTGGTGCAATCACGACTTACTTCATTCTCGACCTCTTGGGTTCAAGGGATCCTCCCACTTCTGCCCCCTACTCTCCCCCTGAGTAACTGGGACTACAGACGCTAACACTAGGGCCGGCTATTTTTTTTTTTTTTTTTTTCTTTGTAAAGACGGGGTTCGCATCGTTGCCCAGGTGGGTCTTGAACTCCTGGGCTCAAGAGTTCCGCCCGCCTCGGCCTTCCAAAGTGTTGGGATTACAGGCGTTAGCTACCGCGCCCGGCCTTCACAGGAGTCTTTTAAACAAAGCAGTAACACGATCTGATTCTGGATTTGTGTTGAAAGCAGAGCACGCAGGGTTTACAAATAATTATGTAAAAAGTGAGGGAGAAGAACTAAGAAAGACTCTCTAAACTTTTGGATTAAGCAGCCGATCGATCACGTCATTTACTGAAATAAGACTGAGAGAGAATTAGGACAGGAGAATGAAATTTCAGATGGCCATGGACAAAGCAGTTAGATAAGCCAGTATGGTGCTCAGATAGACATCAGAGGAGGGAATGTTCACACACAGGCATATAGACACCCAATAATCCTTGAAGACAGATGACTAAAGCAATCATTTGTTCCTTCTTAAGCAAACACTTAGATAAAATGACGGCCAGCCGGCAAGCCAGGAGCAGCAGGTAGCAGCAGGCTCGCGTCAGGACCGGCCTTTCCATCCCAGGGGGCGGCACGTGCGGCACCGCCTCCCGCCCAGGCCCCACCCCCTGTGCAGAGCTTAGCCCAACCTCTCCGCCCACTTTTCCCAAGGCGGCAAAAAACGGAAAGTGGGAGTAGATGAGCACATACCCGCCAGTCCTGATCCTTTCTTAGGTCTCTTTTCCCTGCACCATCTCCGCCTAGCAGTTGTCACTGCTCACTGCCCTCGAGCCTAGCCCCCGCCGCATGTTCGGGTAGAAAAACTCGCTCGTGACGTCACCAAGCTCCGGAAGTCTCCTGGACGTCGGCGCAAGGGCAGCCGGGAAAACCATTGAGAAGCCCCAAACGACTGGCCTGAGCGGAGGCGGGGACTAGAGCGGCCGCCCGCACCACTCGCTTCAGACGTACGACGACCGCGGCCCGGGGGCTCTGACTGGTCGAAGCGGCGGCACTTTCTCCGTGGCCCCGGAAGGACATAAAGCGGAAGGCGGGAGAAAGAAGCAGCCGGCAGGCGGAGGCAGTCCGAAGGGGGCGGTTGCGTGCGAGCCCGACGCCCATAGCCCACTGAGCTTCTTCACGCCGGCTCTCGCGGCTCTGAGCTCACCCGGCGGCCCGGCCTCTTCTGCGCTTCCGGGAGCCGTGGCGAGCGACTGCGCCTGCGTGCCGGCGCATCCGCGCGCTTCGCAGCTGCCCTCGCGCCGGCCAGCGCCGGACAGTTCCTGCGGCGCTTACCGCCTGGCCTCTGGGCTCCGCGGCGCACCGTAGGGCGGCATGTCGCGGCGGCGGCACAGCGACGAAAACGACGGTGAGTGCCTGCGGCCCCGCCGCGGAGACCGCTCCCTCTTGGGAGCCGAGGTTCGGGGTCTTTGGGTGTCCAGGGAAGAGAAGGGAAGCTCTTTTTCCCGGGAGCGTGCGGGAAGCCGCGGAGGGAAAGAGTGGAATACAGTACCGGTGTGACCGGAAGGCTTCTGGAAAGCGACTTCTCCCTTGCCCCAGTTCCTTGAGTCATGGGTAGATCCTGGGAAAGGAGGCCTGGTGAACCCCACGGGTAGACCCTTGGTCTCTAAGGACGCTTCAGAACTTGGTCCTTAGCACCACGGAGCAGGGAAGCACACCTGTGTCTGTATTGGTGCGTCTTAGGGACCCACTGACCCCAGTGTCTCGTTTTAACCTTCAAAGCTGCACCTGAAAAGGGCTCGGAAGAATTCACTGAAGGAAAGGACTGGGAGATCTCATTAATCGCAGTCTGAACTCTGTTCCGGTAGTGGTCATCCGTTGATTTCCCTTCTTTCAAGCTGCGAAGAAGCAATATTGTTTTACCACGCCCGAGAGGTCCCTAATAGACACAGGTTACGGCAGATTTTGAACTGGCCGCACGCACATTTCCCTCGTGTGAGAAAGAGTGCTAGAAAACTAACTCAGGCCTCTCAGAGAGTTAGGGGTTTCTATCTCCATTTGGATGATTGTGCTCGTGGAAATCATGGTGTTGCCTTCATAAAAACGGACTAATTCTAGTTTAAACAAAAAAAAGATGCTTACATTACACATAAGCCTTACAATCGGTCAGAAATACAAATCCACACACACAAAAAGTGAAACTTAGAGTAATTATGTTATTAACATTTTAGTGTATTAATCTTTGAAGAGAGTGTATAGTAGCGTTTAAGAGGTGAGACTTTGGAACCAGAGGGTTTAGGTTCAAAGCCAGACCTTACCATTTACTTTGTGATCTTGTCCAGGTTATATAATCTCCTTAAACTTTAGTCTGTAATATAGAAGCAATGATACTTATATTTTCTGGGTTTCGTGAAGGTTAAATGAGAATACACGTCAGCAGTGGCCCACGATGATGTTTTATCATTTGCCAATGCTTAAGAGGTGGTAAACGTTAGCAGATGCTGTCAATGTAGGGGAAAAAGCTGTAACAGGCATTTTAAATTAAGTTTTCTCCACACTCTGCTTGAGTGTGTGGCAGTTGAGGTGGAAGCAGAATCTCATGCATTTAGTTTTAATAGGGAAACACCAGATTTCTACAAAGGCATGGCTTGAAGAGATATTCTAGTCCAGCCTTCTCATCTGACACCTAAGGGTATAGAGACTGAGTATAACTAACACGGAGAGAGCTGTCAGTTCCAAGACACCAGGAAGAGCAAGTCCATTCCAGGGCTCTCTTCACCACATAGGTATAAATTATGCTGCGTGCTTTGATTTCTACCACAAGAAGCATCTTGTGTAACCTCTGTACAAGGCACAGAAAATACATTTCCCCTTTATTTGTGTGTGTGAGATGGAGTGTCACTGTCAGGCTGGATTGCAGTGGCTCAATCTCGGCTCACTGTGACCTCTGCCCCTCAGGCTCCTGAGTAGCTGAGACCACAGGTGCAGGCCATCATGCCCGGCCAGTTTTTTTTTTTTTTTTTTTTTTTTTTTTTTT